TGACGTGTGTGTGTCGATGTAAACGTGTGTCGACGTGTGTGTCGATGCATAAGTGTAGATGGGTGCGTGTCGAGGTGAGTGTGTCGACGTATGTGTCGCTGTGTGTGCTTCGTCGTGTGTCGATGTGCGACTGTCGATGTGTGTGTGTCAGTGTGTGGGCTCCGACGTATGTGTCAATGTGTGTGCTTCGAAGTGTGTCGTTGTATATGTCGATGTGTGTGCTTCGACCTGTGTCGACGTGTGTGCTTCGACGTTTGTCGATGTGTGCGTCGATGTAAATGCGGGTCGATGTGTGTGTTCATGCATGAGTGTCGATGGGTGTGTGTCGAAGTGTGTGTGTGTGTGTGTGTCGACGTGTGTGTCAATTTGTGTGCTCCGTCGTGTGTGTCGATGTATGAGTCTATGTGTGTGCTTTGACGTGTGTCGACGTATGTGTCGATGTGTGTGATTCGACGTTTGTAGACGTGTGTATGTGTCGATGTATATGTCAATGCGCGTGCTTCAACGTATGTCGACGTGTGTCGACGAGTGTGTCGAGGTGTGTGTGTGTCGACGTGTGAGTGTCTTTGGGTGTTCGTTGACGTGTGTGTGTCGATAAAAACGTGTGTCGACGTGTGTGTCAGTTTATTAGTCGATGCACGTACCGATGCGTGTGCTTTGACGTGTGCCGACGTATGTGTCGATGTGTGAGTTACGATGTGTGTGGCAACGTGTGGGTGTCGACTTGTGAATCGATGTGCGTGTGTCGATGGGTTCGCGCCGATTTATGTGTGCCGATGTGTGTGTGTGTGTTTTGTGTGTGTGTGTGTGTGTTTGTGTCGATTTGTGTGTGTGTCGATGCATGTGCGTGTCGATGTATACATGACGATGTAAGAGTTCCGATCTATGTGCGTCGATATGTGTATGTAAGTGTGTTTGTCGATGTGCGTGTGGCTGTGGATATATCTGTGTGCCATTGTGTGTCATGAGTGTATGTTTTGATATGTGTGATTGTTTGTTTATTAAATTGATCGGAAATTCATAACACCTTTTCCCTTTGACGGAGAGCCTTCGAATTTGCTAGTAGTATATCCGGCTGGACGTGAAAACCGATGATTAGTGACAATACAGACTTCGCCCACAGAGGCGAAGCGTGTGCGATATAAGCGTCACCCGATAAAATCACGCAGGGACATTTCCATAGATAGAATAAAGCCCGATGCTCACTCATGCATAACTTGAGCTGGACTCCCCTTCCCCACCCTTCCTTCGCCGTTGGAGTATCGCGTGCATGAATAAAGCGCTATACGAATTAACTAAGCAGAAACGAGCGTAACCTGGATGAAAATCTACGTCTGGGTCTGAGACAAGGTCCCGATTCCGGGAGAGATAATAGACAAGGCTGAGAAGATGCAAATGTAAGTTTTCCATGGCAAGTGGGCACAGCAAAGAAATCTTCCTCGTAGAAAAATGAGGCATTGATTACTAATGTTGAAAATAGGAGCACAAGACGATTTCAGTAATGATCCTCGTAAGCGTAACAAGTATTGCATTCTAACTCCAATGTGCCGTTCTCCTCTCCTTGAGAGTTTTGCGTCTCTCATCCGTTATCGAGCTCGAGAACAATATATCGATCGACGTAAACAATCATTTTGACCGTACGGCAATACGCCCATGGATCACGAGCGTTTTAATTTATTAGAGAAATAGGCGCCAGGATTGTAACACTGGTGGTAGGTGGCAACACTAGATCCTCTTTCGCTCATGGCGGCGAAGTGCTGTGATTTACTCTGGCCGAAAATCCAGAACTATTCATTTAGACCGGAGCGTTCGGATTTGGAAGTGATACAGGATACAGATGGCAGACCACGTCAATCGGGAAAGAGGAGTCCGGCCATAGCCGGGCGACTCCGTCTATCTGTTTATCTGCCAGAATGGGGCCTAGGGTCAACAGATCAGATCAACAGAGCACATTCAAGCTTAGGAGAAGACCACCCACAAGGGGAGGGGGAGGGGAAGTGGGCCATTCACAGGCACGGGCGGTTTAATGCGAATAAAAGTCAGAAAAAATAGGCAAAGACAGAAATGGCTCAACATATAAGGAGAATCAGACTCATCCGCGATGGGTGGAGCGTTCTCGAATAAGGACGAACTATAATACTTTTTACGTAACTTCACGACCTTTCACAGAACATAACGAGGTTCAAGGGGTGGAGCTCAGATTAAAAAATTTTTTAATTATGTTAGATACGCTCTTAGTAATGAGACCTGAGTCACTACGCAGAGTTCAGCTGGATGAATATTGAATTAAATAGCTAGCGAAAACTAATACGTAGAGGACAGAAATCAACTCTTTTCATGGTACGGACAATGAAGAAAATTTATTTGCTGGAAAAGGAAAAGCGAGAATTACCAAGCGGCAAGTGCGAGAAGCGAAATAATGAGTAAACTGGGAAAGGGGGTCGAGTCGAGAAGGGAATAGTGTAGTGATTAGAAATACAATTTTTTGAAGTGAAATACGGAACACCTACTTGTTGCATCAGTTTCTCACATTACACAACCAAAGAATGAAAATGAACCAATAGTTGTTATGAAATACATAAGAAGCTTCTCAGTATCAAACATATCGTTTCTAGTTTTCATCAAAGGATTATTTACTTCGAACTTTATCCTGTTTAATGATAATGAAAATGTTAAGACCTGTTGTCTAACACTAGCAGTTAACCTACGAAAAGACTATCGAGCTAACCATGGAAGGATCTCAAGTCGAAGTGGCCATTTGAAATGAGACCTACACTGCTGGACGTGTTTTTGGATGCTGACTTCAAATCTGCTAATCAATCATCAAATTTTTATATCGATTAATTGATTATAATCAATTTCTAATCACTCAATCTAGCATCAACACCCACTCTAGCATCGTCATTGTTCATCATATGCGTTTTACTCGCCCGGAGCTCTAAATTTTGCGCAAGGAGGAACTCGTACTCGGGAACAGGTGGGTAGGTAGGAGAAGGTATCAGAAAGCATCAAAAGTTCAAAGAACCTGATAAAATCACCATGGGAGTATTTTCTAATCTATAAGGGGAATATTCTATACCAGTCGGATCGCCCGGCTAACGTCAGGCTCTCCTCCTTCTTGTGTCAAACACCTTATTTCGAGAAATGTTGAACTGAAGAATTTTATTCCCTTTTTCAAAGTTTATAGTCTTTATGCTTTTTTCGTGTTTAGCTGAGTGAGGGTATGAAACTGAAACAGAGCTCGAAATCGTTCTTTGACACAACAGAAATCGAAAGCTTCCCTCTTTTCGATATTTGTAGTACGTCTAACTCTCCACTCATTTTTTGGAACAAATGGCAGTTTCCTGTACACGAAATTTGACACAGGACTAACAGGGCAGTGCAAATGGTATTCAGTTAAAGTCGGTGCTTACGCCTTCGATTGGAAGTCTCGAACTTTCGCTCTCTATCATTGCAATAAATACCCATAAAAAATCCAACTGTTAGACAATCAAAGATGATGCTTTGATGTTCTGAGTGATGATAGCACCCTTATTAGATGTTTTTTATCAATGGACCGTTTTCTTTACGGAGGTATCATTTGTTGAGAATTCTAGATTACACTCGGTCGAATAAGTTTTGTCGCAAATGACATCGAGCAAAGAGGATCTTCATCGAATCACAAACCTTGCTGGATAGCGGTCGTAATCTAAAAGTAAGAAATGAACAAATTTCTAATCTGCATATCGTACTACCCTAATGGGCCCCATCACTGCACTTACCACACACTTTTGTCACCCTGCTCTACAACCCCGTCTTATCTAATGAAACATACTGAACGGTCAAAGCTGCATCGTAGATACCGAAGACGTTAGGATTTTGATCGGTAGGTGGCCTCTCTTAGGTCCTTTATCTTCTCTTATCAGTTATCATCAGTTCCTGTCACCGAGTAACTACGATCTCGTCATATGCATCACCTATTAGAATGCTGAGGTTCCACTGGTAATACGAAAAGTGTGATCCTACCACATTTGAACGCTCTAGGTCCACGTAAACAGGAGTTGTGAATTTGCGTCCCAAAATTGCTATCGCGTATGCCCCGCTCCCTGTGAGAGGAGTTCGGTCCTGCCACCAACCATAAGTGTTCCCATGCCGCCCCCTGTACTCCTACCAATTTTGAACGCTTTGGGTCCACTGGAGCAGGAGTATGAATTTGCGACCTAAAATTTCTATCGCGCACGANCCCCCCCCCCTACCAAGTTTGAACGCTCTAGGTCCACGGGGACAGGAGTTATGAATATCCGGTCAGACACACACACCGACACACAAAAACAAACAAACACACACACAAACACACCGACACACCAACAGACACACTTAGCGAATTATATAAAGTAGGACAAAGCAAAAATTCCTCCCCCCACAAAACCCATACCCTAGTCTCTCGCACATGAAGCGTCACGCTTACCACTACACCAAGCCGCCGTTGAGAAGCGAGGCACACCCATGTAATATAAGTTTTCTTATGTTAAAGGCACAGTTCACGATAATTCAATGGGCGGGGACGTCAATGGCCTTAACGCCTCTCGATCGAAGTCACGTCAGACGAGTGTCGAGACAATACAGATTGCACATTTTCGTTCTAGGACCCACACACAATCAGCTGTCGCCGAGTGATAATGCGATGTTCTTCTCCCATTCTTTTTTCTTCTGCTATTCTTCTTGCTGCCGCGATCCCTTATTTAATTTCCTACCCCTAGAGAGTGAAAAAGGTGAGCTACTTTTGCTGTTACTTGGGTTTTTGTTTACTTATGCTTATAAGTGAATGAATTTTTTCTTACCATTGTCTGTTATTCGCACCAGGACCCACACGCGCGCAGTGAAACACACTGTTTAGCCCGTCCGGACACCCCACTCTTCTTCATTTTTCCGAACTCATTCTTGTCCAGCACCTTGTTTAACGGTTTTTCGAAGCTTTTTTTTTCAGTTTGAAAACATAGATTTACGCAGTTTCTCCACCTTCATCGCACTATTTTCGACCTTGTCGTCCATTTTTCATCATAATCTGGACTACCCAAATTATCGTGAACTGTGCCTTTAAGCTCCCTGAAACCACCCTCATAACTCCGTTCAGAGAAACGCTCGGCAAGTTTGGAAAGCAGATTTAAACTGCAGCACTCAAAAACACGTCCAGCAGTGTAGGTCTCATTCCAAATGGCCACTTCGACTTCGGATCCTTCCCTGGTAAGCAGGAACCAATGATCTTTCCTCCACTGCGAAAACATCACTCGAAGGTTAGCCTCAGAGTCCTTGCCACCAGTCGAGACAATGATGAGCTGCATGAGCACGTTCAGCAACCTACAGTACTGCATAAGCAAGTTAAATATTAGCATGTACAAATGCCACTTCGTGATGATCTATGTGGGTGGATGTTCCGAGAAAAATCTGGTCAAAACAATCGAAGCATTTCAACAAGGGTGAAAGAGAAAGATCAGCAACTAGGTCAGTGGCCCTACATGCTTATGAAGTTGCGCAATGGTTGTTGAATGTTTGCTCTCCCAAGGGAAAGATTCAAAGCCGTAGTAAACTTTTGAAATGAAACTGAGTTGAACTGGAACTGAAAACTGAACTATGAAATTAAAGCAAAAAACATACCCTGCTTCTTGCTACTAGCAGGACTGTGGAACACACTCTGGCTACTGTCCCAGTGGTATTTACTGCCATATAATGTTTGCGTATTATTTCTGAGGCTAGATCCCTGAGCTCTTCTCTTAATTTATTCCAGTTGGGCTATGCACGTTAACGCGTGCATTGTATATCCACGACCCCGCATGTGCCGTGGAATCATTCAGCGGAATATTTGATGTATTAGAATGAGATTCTTCTCCCTAGATTCGAACCCGTCGAGCGAAGCCTCTTGCTGGCCTCTTGCTGGCGCAGGTCAGCAAGAGGCCAGCAAGAGGCTTCGCTTCAACGTCATTGCTCTTCAGGAGACGAAAACCAAGGAAACGGCCATCAAAAGACCAATGACGGGCACCTCTTCGTTCTAGGAGCGAAAGTCGACGGAAAAAACGTCGGAGGCGTCGGATTCTTGGTCCATCGTCGGATCGAACATCTGCTCGACTCAACCGAGGTACTCGGCCCGCGACTGGCCATTCTCCGCCTACGCATCGAAGGGCGCACAACAGTCAGCATTGTTAACTGCTATGCGCCAACGTCAACAGCAAACGACGGAGAAAAGGACGCCTTTTATAAGGAACTGGAGGAGGTTTTAAAGAACGAGCGATCATACTACAAGTACGTTGTTGGGGACTTCAACGCAGTCATTCATGAGGAGAGACCGGCCACAGCACGCACTAGACCACATGGAATTGGAGAAACGAACGAAAACGGAGAGCGATTGATGGGCCTTTTAGACGCGTGCAACCTATGTCACGGAAACAGCTTCTTCGTGAAAAACGAGGGTCGACGATGGACATGGGAGAGCCCTAATGCAGAGATTCATAGCGAAATCGACCGCGTTCTCAACAACAGAAAGTGGAGTTTGCTGGACGTCAGTGTGGTAGAAGCGTTCCGCACCGTAAGCGACCATAGGCTCATCAGAGCCAAAATCCGCCTACGAGCAAAACTTCGAAGACGTGATTGTTTCGGCCTCCTCCCGTACGACTACCGCGGTATGACACTAGCGCCATGGAGGTGGCAGCTGTTCAGTGCACGTGGCAGGAGGCACAGGACTTACACACGATTACGATCTGCTTGTAATAGAACTTCTACACTGCGCAACGGCATCGGCTATTTCAGCAAGGGACAACTCGAGGAGCAGGATCGATGGAATTGCTCGCACCCTCCTCCAACAACGGGCTGCCGTTTACCGTAACTCTGCATCTTCACTTCTTGAAGGTGCTACGATCGATAAAGCGTGCCGCATCGCTGTGAGAGAATCGATGCATAGACACCCGACTGAAGGAAGCAGCAGAGGCGAGAGCGAGCCTCAAGCGATGCCGTAAGGACCTTACCAACTCTCGCTCGATCATCGCAGTTATGAGGGACGCGATGGGCAGACCGCAGACATCGAGAACGAA